CAGCTGCCCTGGGGCACACTGACAGAGGTGGGGCTGCCATACATCGGCGCCACCGGGCCCTCTGACCACCATCAGTATTTTTAACCTATAAACTACCCATATGGGTCAAAATTACCTATGAAGTCTCAGTTTTAAAGCTGAAGGTCGTTTTTCTGACCCAAGGGCAGCAGGAGGGTCAGAAGCTAAACAGAAATTCTGGTTTATATAAAACACGGTGGGTTAAGTTGTGATGAGAACTAGCTTGCAGAAATTTATTGGGTTTAATTCCTGTCAAAGTTCAAACTATGTGGCATTTAGTGAAAATGATTCRTTGTTAACATATTTTTGAGATTACAGGAAATGGATTTAAAGCTAAATTTGTAAATAACCACTTAAGTACACATTAAAAACATAATACAACTTACTGTAATTATTAGTTTTCCAATGATTTTATTGTATTATTTGTTTACAGCAGCAGCAGCAGTAAAACCCAGTGAAAATAGATGTTGTCCCACCGGCATCGTGTGTTTGTGTGGAGCACGTGGAGATTTAAATATCCATCGCCATCATTTACTCTTTTTAATTACTTATTAATGAGCGATAACAAGCGTACACACACTGTTGTTTCCCCTCCACCACACCATCCACCTGCTTTAAATTCACTCTCTGGCTTCTCATTAAATCCTRCAGCTCAGGTTTCAGCTTTTCCATCATCCGTCTGATTCCATTTTAAACCCCAACTTCATCCTCATCTGGCTTCAATCGTTTCCTGTTCCTGACGTGTTACCATGAAAGCTGCCAGGCCCGTCAAAAAGAAGGGAAAAATACRTAGCAAAGGAAGCAGAATATGAAGAAACCAATGAGCCAGTTGATGGAGTAGATGTAAATGATGACCATGTCCATGTCAAAACGCCAGCCTCTGGAGTCGTCCTCAAAGTCCAAGTCATCCAGGGGGTAGGCTCCAGCATGGGGGAACTGACGTCGCACACCTGGGCTGGCCTGCCTCTGGAAGCCTGCTTTGAAAAGCAAATGAATCACTTGTTTTATGTTGTTTGTTAAAATGACACATCTTTTAAAGGTTACTTTTGATGTACCTCATTTCAGGATTTTCTAAAGTTTTTAACTAATTCCAGTCAGAAATCCCAGCTTTGATTGATCATTTTTAAAATATCGGTCATAGTTTAGCTTATTGTAAGCGACATTAAACTGCACACTATCATAATTAAGCAACACTTCTTGACATTTAAATAAATTGTATGATTCTTTAAAAATGCAAATGGAATGTGTTCRGTTTTTAAAATGGACCTTGAGTCTCAGAGTAAATAGAAGCAGTCAGTGTGCATCGTTGGAACAACCTTGGATTGTTTTTTTTAAGAACTGGGTGAGTAAGAATGCTTTATTCTGTTAAAGAAACAAATGCATTTGATGAACTAAAAAAAGTTATTTATTACAGTTTAAATATTTTTACATGAGTTTCTGTCACATAACACAAGATTCCCAAATCTAAAATCAAACCTTCCACACTTCAGTCTTAGTCTGCACAGAAATAAAATAAAAAAAAMCAACTTGCCTCCAAAAATACGAAAGAGTTTTCTGCAGCTCGGAAGAGGCCACTTTGCACAAGGTGCTCTCTGAAAGTTCTGTTTCCGAGACAGGTATTCCTTTGGGAAGAATGTCTTTGCTGTTTGATTCAGCTCTATAAAGACAAAGAAAGAAACTCCAGATAATCAAAAACCTTACGAACAAAGAGAATGCTTGACTCATCGAATGTGTTCTAAAGCTGCAGATTTTGCCTCATTGGACTCCCTGATGCTCTTCTTGTTGAAACTCAGGGTCACCTTAGGTTTGGTAATCAACAAAATGATCATATCTGGTCATGTAATCATTAACAAGAGCCCTCAGGAGTTCTACAGTTCCTTTAAGCACCTTGTCTCTGAATCCAGAAATAGGCCATCRTGAGTCATGAAAGCTCATTACTTATTCAAACCTTTGTTCAAATCAGACTTTCTATATGTAATCGCTGTGTTATTGTCCTGTGATTGCATTTAAAGATCATGAAACAGAATATATTTCAGCATCCRTGTTACTATTTAATGTTATGTAAATGTGAACACATTCGTTTTTCACTGGTGGAAACAAAACAACAGGCATCTGTTCTCCTACTGCATCACAGCGGATGTTCTGCAAAAAACAGGAACTCTACTTCTCGTTTTCATTAGAGTGCACCAAATAAAAGTGTTCAGAGGGTGTTTGATTTTTGTCTTTTTGGCCTCTGTGACTCATCTGGTGTGAGCCGAGCTAAAGGTCTGCCCTGCTCCCTGCAGGACATCTGCAGCTGGGCCCTCAGAACAGTCAGCAGCTCCAACAACCAACAAACACAGCACTATTCATTTAATCCAATCAAATTGAACCCCACGTTTTTATCACAATTTCTRATCTTTTTGTAACGTATTAGTGTGCTGTTGAAGTTTGTTTCATCTCCTCACCCTTTTGGAAGAAAACGTGCGTGATGATGGTCCTGCAGAGGGGGCAGGGGGTGTTAGTTGGGCCGTTCTTTGCAAGCRTCCTCAGACAGGGTTCACAGAAGATGTGGTTGCAAGGATGGCACATGTAAGGACTGAAGTACACGTCTAAACACACGGCGCAGATGAAGCCTTCTCTGTCCCCCGTGCCCTGGGCCTCCTCATCCTCACTGCTGCTGCTGCTGCTGCTGGWGGTGGTCGGGTTTCCTGTTGAGCTCTGGTGGTGGTGTTAGACATTTAAGTTGGTTTACATCAAGTAAAAATATGAAGAGACAAGCAGGGATCTGACCCCTCACAAACCGGCTGTATGTTCGCACAACAAAACAACACTGCAGCAACTGGGGGGTATATGTCGTGTTCATCTTTAGATGGTTTGTCTCTTTCTCATCTTTTTTTGATGATTGTTACCCTTATTGATGCCCACCTAAATCACCTAATAATATGTGTGAGGACACGAGGGTGCGTGGGTGTGAAATGTCTGTTTCTTACATCTCACGGTAAAGTTAGAGAAAATATTTGATCTTGGCTTTTCTAGCTTGAATTATGGGGAGTAGAAAAGTGGTGGACCTCAGGTAAATCCCTCAAATCTGCTGTCAGAGTTTCATGAACCACATTATGAATTGTGTATTCAGAACTCTATTTGAAAAAGAAAAAAACTATATTTTTCCCACATAGTTTTTGCATCAAACCACAGAAYACCACCTCTCAAACTCCCCTCTTTGTCTCAGCAGTCGATTTGTTCTCCCTTCCAAGAGTTTCTGCCTCCAAACAGAGCTTCCTGTTAATCCAAACCCAACATGCACTTCATGTGAGGAGGATGTTCCGGAGCTTCTCGAGTCCCTCCACCTCCTCCACGGAGGAGCCTCTGCAGACCCACTGGGGGGAGAGATTTGTGTCTGGAGCTGCACTGCTGAAAAAGCCTTGGGGTGTTTTCAGAGTAATTACCACTTTCTCACCCAGGGGGAGCTCCGGGGGAGCTTTCTCGAAGCACCRGTTCTGCCTTTCAAGGTGTGTCATTAACACAGAGAGGGGATTACTCTGGGCACAGAGCTCTTAAGTAATCACGGACACTTTGAGGCTCTCCCCTGACAACATACTGAAACAAGGCAGCTTTGTCCTGGTTACTGTGGGTTCATAAATGCATAAATCACAGATTTTACAACAGCATAATGCAATGTACTGAATGAATGGTAATGTTTGAATGAGTCAAACTGTATATGTWAGTTATTTAGTGTAAATAAATGGAATGAAATATAAATTTGTATTGATGCAGAAGTACTCGCAATTAAATTCACGTTTAATTTAATTTGTACTGTTTTTCTTCAGTAAACTGCCAGCTGACCTGAGATCTGTTACAGCTCTGTCTGCACTTAAAACCAAACTTAAACTCCTTTTATTCTCTCGGACTGGTATAATTGCTGCTCATAATTCCCACAATGCCCGCTGTTTTTAAGGTTGTATGATTAATCAGGCTCACATTTACAGATTAGTTTATTCTTTTATGCCTATGYTGGTTATTTTGTTCCTACAGTTTTATATTTGTGCACAACATATGATAAATTCATGTCRATAGGATTTATTCCAACAATAAATCTGTAAAGTTGAAGTGATCTAAACTGTTTCACAGCATCGACAAAAACCACAGTTACAGGGGATGGGAGATACAGTGGGTAAAGTAAGTATTGAACACGTCACCATTTTTCTCAGTAAATATATTACTAGAGGTGCTAATGACATGAAATTTTCACCAGATGT